GGTCCGGGCGTTTTTTGGGTGACCCTATTCGTGTTGATTTCGCGACTCGCAGACAATCCGCCCCTGACCTCCGGACAGTCCACCGTTACTGTTCACGTCATGAGCAGAAGGTCTTATTTTGGTCGTGCTTTGCTGCTCTGAACGCCGGACAGTCCGGGCCTACCCGCGGACAGTCCGGGGCTGCTGCTGAAGCATGTCCACAACTGTTTCAGCAAGTTCGTTTTTCGGTGTTTGACTTATGGACGATCCGGCATTCAACCGTGGATAGTCGCCATTCTTTTTTTCTGTCTAGGTCGAACTGTTTCTCATCGTTCAGTTTTTGAGAGTTGAACGCCGGACAGTCCGCCCTCAACTCTGGATACCTGGGGACTGACCATGGACGGTCCGGACTCCCTACGGCAGACAGTCCGAAACTGCAGGCAGATTGTTTTGCTTTTTCTCGTTCTTTCGAGCACTTGTTTTCGTCGGTTCTCGGTTGATCCGTTGTACCTCTTGGTCATCGCCAAAGGTTTCCAGCCATCCGTTGGCTTATGATCATACCGTTCTCTAGCGCCTTTGCTTTTGGGTCATGATTTTGGGACAACAGCTTAAAGTTTCGAAAGAAATTTGAGGCTCCCATTCAACCCCTCCTTCTGGTCGTCGTTTTCGGTCCTTTATTTTCCAAGGAAAAATATTGTGTTTTTTCTCTTTCTCCCATTTGCACATTTGTGACAATATTTTGGCCCCGTTCGCTGATCTGAAACTTGGCTGAAAAATACTGTTCCGGCTGAATTGTTATGAGAGAGAAACACTGTTGGCTGGTTTGATAAACAGTGCAATGGGAGGGGAACCAGCCGGCTGAACTTTTCAGTTCAGACCAGCGAACTGAGCGTTTGTATCATTATCTCCTTTTAGAAGCCATGTCTCATGACTCCTATTATACCAGTATGTTTCCGCCTGTTCTAACAACTTCAAATTCTCCCCTAGCAACCATACTTTCCTTTCCAACTGATGGGGCAACAACCCCACAGTTTCCTCCTGCTCTTACAGTTCACTCAACTCACTTTGTATCAGTTTTCTATTTTTCCTTAGTTCTCCTTGTAAACCGAAACCCCATCCTTCAAAGTATTGTTTGACTAGTTTGAGCTTTTGTTGAATTCTATCCCGAGAAGATTTGGCATTACATGGTGTGTTCCAGATCTTTTTAACGTTCAGCTTGAAATCAGGGTTATCAACCCAACTAAGTTCAAATTTAAACTGAATATGAGGCAATTTTTTACTTATTTTAGAGAAGATAATTAGAGGATTATAGTCTGATATCTCCCTTGGGAGTTTTCTAACCATTGGCTGTGGAAAAATATCTTCCCATGTTCTAGTAATCAGTATTCTATCCAGCTTTTCCATTGTGGGAGGATCATGGTTATTAGATCAAGTATACATATACCCCTCCACTCATTTCTAGTTCTCTCAGTTCAAGGAAATTGATGAAGGTGTTATAAGACCAGTATGCTTGTCCACACCATTATTAGAGCTCTTCTCCTTAGCATATCTTATGATATTAAAGTCACCTCCTATTAGCATAGGTTCTTGATTGATTGAGTAGAAGTTGGACAATTCAGATAGAAAAGTCATTTTCCCCTCTTCTTGAGCAGCCCCATAAACAATTAAGAGATTCCATTTCATTCTTGCTTGTTTATCCCTTAGATTCATCTGTATCATGAACTCCCCTTGTTTAAAAGACACAACATCATAGATATCTATTCTAACACCAACCAAAATACCCCTAGACTTACCTTTAGATGGATTCCAAATCCAAAGGCAATCCTGATTGGTATCAAACTTTCTTAACAGAGAGTCCTCACAAACTTCTAACATGGTCTCTTAAAGACCAATAAAGTGAAATTGATATTGACAGATTAGAGATTTTAAGAATGTAGAGGCTCCTTTTCTTTTTAAGCCTCTTCAGTTCCATACTAAACCTTGTATATTCATCCATCATATTTTCTTTTACCTTTCTTTTTTGGCAAGCTAGGATCTTCCTGTGCTTGTTTGCCTTTAACCTTCAAAGGAGTTAACTTCTTGGTCTTTCTTGACCCTTTCTTCTTTTTTCTGGATTGCAAAAGAGTAAACTCCTCTGTCTCAGAGGTTTCCTCATGCATCCACTCGAGTTGTAAAGACTCATTATCATCTCTTTCCTCAACTATTTCCTCTACGTGAACATTAGAAGAGTTTTTTTGTTGCTTATTAAGTAAATTAATTCTTGCAGTTTCTAGTTCTTTAAGCACATCAAAGGAATGAGAACTATCTTTTTCAATAACCACCTCCATCTTTTTAGACATAGCATGTAAATCATCATGAGATAAATCAGAAAGTATAGAATGGGCAGTTGTGTAACCTTCCAGATTCCTCTTCTTGGCCATAATCTCTATCTTTTCTCGAGTAGTCATGGCAATTTCCTTCTTCAATCTATCGCTTCTTCTCCTTTCTTGATGATGCTCATCAGCAACTGCTACTTGACCATCACTCTTCTACTCTTGTATGACACCCTTTGCTAGATCCTCAACCATAGCCCTCTCAGTCAACGCAGAGACCACACTTTCCTGAGTGTTTACAATGTGATCACCTGGTAAAAAGATTTCAGGAGCCCAAATTCTGACCAGGAACTTTATCAGCCTCTTTACTAACCAACACATTTTCAGAATCTTTAATAGTTCCACAGCCATCAGCAGAATGCTTTCCCAATAATTTATCAGGAAGCTCATCTGTACGTTCTTCCATGTACCAGACTTGCTGATCCAGAGTTCCATCATTTTCCTTGGAACGTCCCTGGCCACCATCACCATAAGCATCAATTTTTCTCAATCTAACACTCAGAGTTTCTCTTTTAGTATCAGAGTCCTCAAAGGTATCTGGTATTTGGACTTTGTCACCCCTGCCCTCCTCAGTTCCCCTTTCCTACAAGTTTTCTGAGCATCACCCATAAACTTACCACCCTTGTTAGTCTCAGAGTACTTTCGAGGAGCAGAAGCAACACCATTTCACAAACGAATTTATTTACAGATTGTTGGCGACGTTGTTATTTTTACATATTTTTCTTCTCCAGACCCACAAAATAAATCTTAATGTCTTGTATATAAGTAGGAGCCCTCATTTGCACCGTACTCCCTCCATCCCAAAATAAACACACTTTTACACAATTTTTTCCCCAAAATATGTACACATAAGCTGTCAAATCAATATGCAGCTGTATCGAGAACTCCTAACAGCCACAAGTTGAGACCATGCACGAAATAAAATAAAAATGTTGATGAAAAAGGCCAAAACAAAGGGAACGGAGGCTACTTTAGACACCAGAAGCTCCCTCGTCCACTCATTTAAGGCATGCCTCGTTCACCCCGCACTAAGACTCTTCATGGTCTATAAATGGCAAACTCCCTTTACAGGGTAGCAGTGTAATTTTTAGCCACACTAGTTTGCCCATTCAAATTAATCCAGATGTAGGTTTATTCTCGGTCAGAGGGGATATTGTTTACTACCCGATGCTCTCTTTCGAATCCCTCACCATTTCACTCCACATAACCTTAGTAGCCTGTTTGGCTTGACGAACTCGTCTAGCATACGGCAAACCCGTCGAAAAAATAATGGTGGGACGACATCTTTTTGACATTGATGAGCAAATTGTTAGTCACATCTTTTTGACATAATACTTTAGCAAAGAGATGTCAACTAAACATGCGCCCTTAACAAATGGAGCAGGCCATATGGTGAAGCAAGGGACGATGCGAGCGTACATTTGCGTCCTTCCCTTGCTATAAATAGGGACTCCTAAGCCGCTCATCATCGTAACAAAGGCAAGAAGCCGCACGAAGTTAAGAAGGCCGATCGACGATGGGCGTGATCTCGTGCGGCAGCAAGGAGGAGTTCGACAGCAAGATGGTGGAGGCCAAGGCCACCGGCAAACCGGCGGTGATCGAATTTATTGCCACCGGGTGCGGTCCTTGCAGCATGATCGGCCCGGTTTTCAATAAACACGGCAGCTACCCTAGCTGGTGCTGTCTTCTTGAAGGTCGACATCGACGTGCGAGCACCAGTAACTTCGTGGTGCTCCGAACCAAAGTGATTCTTAGCCTTTTTTAACCAATAACCGCTCGTGCACAAATTAGTGACGGCTCAAGATGTAAAGCGTCTACAAATTTACGTCTGTGATGTGAACAGTACTAGTGACGGGTGCCCAACCGTCTGTACTACTTATCTGTGACGCTGGCTGACATACCGTTGCTTTCTGGCATAGTGTGCCGAGCTTTGTCTTCGTCAAGAACGGCGACAAGGTGGACAGCGTCACCAGCGCCAAACTGGTGGACCTCCAAAACGGTGAAGCACCTTTGGTGCCCCGTCGTCCGCCTAGTTACGGCTGGCACAGTTATACATACTAGCTTATACCAGTCGTGCCTCATCATCATCAATAAGGAAGCTAGCTAGAGTCTGGAGGTGTCGCCTCCCGGCGAGGGTGAAACCTGTTGTACAAATGTGGTGTGAAATGTTCCCTATGTAAACTCCTCCCCCTCTCATATCCTGTGAAACTCGACTGTAGGCACTTCTTGCCTAGGCTAGGGCCCTCCACCACCAGCTTGACTGTGGGATTATATTAGTGATGATTGATATATCAGGTGGGGACTCATCGTCCCCCACGCCTGGTCGTATCCATAAAAAAAAGGAACTTGATGACAGTAGTGAAGGTCCCCCACAAGAAGCTCTTTGTGTTCGGACTTGCGAGAGACGAGAGTAGGAGATCGGTTTGTGGAGGTGGCCATGAATCTCTCATCCGTTTCTTACTATCTCTCTTTCATTTATTACCTTCTAAATTTGATGTAGGTCTGTATTTAAGATTAAGAAAGTGGTGGAATATATATCTGCAAAGGGGGCGGGGCGACCCATTTGCAAATACGGTCCGCTCCTCAAAATCAACAATGGGTCGACCCCAAAGAAAAGAGGGTACTAGCGGTTCGTGTTTCCATCGAGCCCTAGGTCGAGCCGAACCGAACCCTCGGGTAGCTGCCGCCCATCCGCATCTGCCTGTAGAAGTTAGCGATGAACAGCTCCGCGCGCTGGTCGATGTTGTCGTCCCCTGCCGCCGACGCCGCCGGCGACCCACCGCTGGAGGACGACGACGCCCTCTTCAGGGCCTCGGGCGACGCCGCGGCGCTGCTGGTCCGCGACAGGCTCCTGGTCATCGCCGTGCCCAGGCTCGCCGACGGCCGACCTGGAGGTCCTAGAGCTGGAGGAGGAGGAGGAGGAGGAGGCCGGCGACGCGATGCCAATGCCGCCCTCGACGTCCAGCAGGCCGGCCGCTTCCATGCGGGCGTACGCGCGAGCATGCCTCGCCGCTGGCCGGGACTCCACATGGCGTACGCGTCTGCACGAGCTCGCCTCGTTTCCGGCCGCGCCTCCGTGGGCATCCGCACGAGCATGCCTCGCCGCCAGCTGCGCCACCACGTGCGCGTGCGTGCAAGGACGCCTCGCTGCCGGCCTCACCTCCGTGCGCGCGTACGCGTGAGCTCGGCTCGCAGACCGCCGCGCCTCCGTACGGATGTAAGCCAAGCCCATATCCAGTTGATGCCTCGCCGCCCTAACCTCTGGTCACTAACTGGATAAGGATGACTGGAGATAGAAAAATACGAGATATGGAGTCGTGGCAGACAGGAAGCTACTCGGTTTCAAGAAACCCTCGGGCAGCTCATCGTCGCCCTACTAGAACTGGGACGTAGGCCGGTTGGCCCTAAGGTGCTCCGCGGGCCATTAAGTTTCAGCAGGTAAGCGAGGCGGTTCTGACTCTGAACCTCTAAATTAATCAAACGGGGTGAAGGGAGGAGCGCACCGACCCGCACCCTTCGCAGGTGGAGTGGAATATCAAATTTTAAGTCAAATAGCCTGGTTCATGCAGTATGTTCCAATTCAGGCTAAATGAAAGGATCTATACGGGGCCTTAGCGTTTAGGATAACACCATGTAATTCGTGTGTTGTCAGCACATCTTCCTGTTGTTTACTGGCTCTCGACAAACGGTTGTTGGAAATAGCTGAAACAAATGGAGGTAGACAGCATTTTTTCTGTTTTTTTTATCTTTTGAGAAAAACACCTCGAGTTCCTCGTACTACTTGTTGATAAGCGTGACGCTCTCAAAAGATAAAATCCAACGCATTCAGTTTGTTAATGGTCGTTGGAAATAGCTGAAACGTAACAGCCTGATGAATGCGAGGCACCATGTGATAAGTCTGAGTTCTGAGGCTCTCAAAATCCTCGTCGATCTGCTAATCGTGATGGTGATTGGTGAACAGAACCCCAGCCGATTAGAGCAAGTACAACAATTTGCCGTCACGCCAAACAAGTCTCAGCAAGCTAGATGAGATAGAGGAGAGAAGGCAGAAGAGAGAGGCCGGGTTGGTTTGGTTGTCTCGTCAGATTTTAGTGCTCAGCTCGACACGTACGTTTGCCTATCATCTATGTAGTTGTAGAGTCGTGACAAGCTCAACATACAGAGCTGTTGACACCTCAGTATATGTTGTGGGCCTATCACCTATGACCTTAATAGAAGGATAAGCAATTCCCATATAGACTAGCTGGGTGAGCGGGCATTATCTAGCGTATGGTGTGATTGTTATTGTTGACCAATGTTTGTTTTTTTTTGTAGCCGAGAGTATTATCGGCCTTGCTCTTGCTATATACTCCATCTGTCTTAAAATAGAAATTATTCTCGCTTACCGAAAAGTTAGCTTTTTTTAACTTTAACCAATTATATATAAAAAAAATATCAATATTCCATTAGATAGATCATTGAATATACTTTCATAATAAATTTATTTAAAGATATAAATACGGCAGAAAGGACATGAGTCTCACGCTACTACAGAAAGAATTTATAGCAACGCCTTCTTTTTTAGGGGCCGCCCCTACAAATGGTTCCCAAACGAGACGCTCCTACAAATCTATTTATAGGAGCTGCTGGTGTTATCAGCCGTATCTAAAAATAGCCCTATTTGTAGGGGCAGCTCTATATCCAACTGCCCCTACAAATCGGCTGGATATAGAGCCGCTCCTACAAATAGACGTCGAATAATAAAAGTTAAGTACTAGAATTTGATTTTTTTTAAATGCCGTAAGATGGACAAATGGCTAAAATAAAAGTTATAGATCTCGAAAAGTTATAGAACTTTGCTATTGAGAACTTTTTCATTTGAAATCATTTATTATTTCAAAATACTGTTGGAAATTCAATTTTTAAAATATTGAATAACTCTAATTTCTCCTTTTAATCTCTGGCTAAAATTTGTAACTAGTCTTTCTTCCTCGTACTAACTTCAAATTTGATGATTTTTTTCCTAAAGTTTTCTAAAATCATGCTTTATTAATTTATTGTTTTTTTACAGCTATTATTTTGGTCTTTTCATGTGACCTCGTTTTATCAATTCAAAATTTGAATTTCAAAAAATGGCAACTTTAAACAATATTTTGAAACAGTAAATGATTTTAAATGAAAAAAATCATGAACATAAAGTTGTAGAACTGATCAAGATCTACAACTTTTATTTTGGTCCTTTCTTCATCTGAAAATTGTTCACAAATTTACATATCTTTTGTATAGTTTCACATAAACTATAAGAGAGATATGTAAATTTATGAACAATGTATACTACCACTTTATCGGATGAACATATGACCAAAATAAAATTTGTAGATCTTAATGAGTGCTACAACTTTTATTTTCATGGCTTTTTTAGCTAAAATCATTTACTGTTTCAAAATGTTGTTTGTAGTCATTTTTTGAAATTCAATTTTTGAATTATTCAAATAAAGTCATATGAAAAGATGACCAAAATGAAAAATGTAGATATCAAAAAGTTATAGAACTTGTGGTTGAAAACTTTTTGATTCGAAGTCATTTTGTCAAGGAAAACTATGTTTGAATTTCTCAAATTTAAATTTTGAATTTTTTTAAATGACCTCGGATAGAGAAACAATCAAAACAAAAGTTGTAGATCTCGAAAAGTTATGCAACTTTGTAGTTGACAACCACTACCCCAGATTAGGACAATACTGCCGGTTCAAAACAACCCATCATTGTCGGATTTTGAACCGGCACAACTAAACCGGTAGTGATGAGGGTTAGCTATCACTGTCGGTTCCTACAAACCGGCAATGTTCTTCAACTTTGCTGACGGTCCTTTACACAACACGGCAGAGTTCAGTTCCACCAGCACTACCAGTTCATGAGACCACCCGGCAGTGTAATCTCGAACATTACTGGCGGTTTGTGTCTTTAGCCGGCAGTGTTGTCATAAGTGAAAGGATCAAGATGCCCAAGAGGGGAGTGAATTGGGCTAATTCTAAATTTCTTTGCAATAATTAAACCATACGATTAGCCCAATTAACCCCTTATGCCTAGAAAGTGTTTCTAATGTTCTACCGCATAAAAAGTCTTGCAACCTAAGTTCCAATCCTACTCTAGCATGGCAATTCTATGAATGTAAAAACAAGAATTGAATTGCTCAAAGTAAAGAGAGAAGGAGGAATGCGGCGATGTTTTACCGAGGTATCGGAGAGTCGCCACTCCCCACTAGTCCTCGTTGGAGCACCCGCGCAAGGGTGTAGCTCCCCCTTGATCCGCGTAAGGATCAAGTGCTCTCTACGGGTTGATTCTTTGACACTCCGTCACGGTAAATCACCCACAACCGCTTACAACTTGAGTTGGGTCATCCACAAGCTCTCCGGATGATCACCAAGCTCCCAATCACCACTAAGCCATCTAGGTGATGGCGATCACCAAGAGTAACAAGAACGAACTCTCACTTGACCACGGCAAGCCTAATGAGAAGGATGGATGCACACTTTGCTACTCTTGCTTTTACTAATGAGGGCTCTCTTTGGGATTCTCAAATCTCAATCACCTTACTAGGATCTTGCTCTTCTTGGCACTCTTAAGGGTGCTTCTCAGCTGTTGGAATGAGCAAAAGTACCCTCTCATACGAATGGAGGAAGTATTTATAACCTTGGTTGAAAAACGAACCGTTATGCGCCTCTGCGGGGTGACCAGACACTCCGGTCAGTTCTCCCCGAAATCTAGTGTTTAAGTTTATGACCGGACGCGTCCGGTCACGATTTTCCCTCTCTAGAACCTTACTGGAGTCAACCGGACGCTGGCCCTCAGCGTCCGGTCACTCACCTCTCAGCGTCCGGTCACGCCAGACGATTTCACCTTGATCAAATGAACTGACCGGACTCTGCGCCAGCGTCCGGTCACACCGGAACCAGCGTCCGGTCAGCATTTGACCCTCCATTCACTTCCAACTTTCAATCATACGTGAATGAAGTTTGCTCCAATGAATCTAAAGACTTTTTAGGAGCTACCTAGTGCTAGATTTAGCAAGTGTGCATGTAGGACACGTGGACGCCTAAGAGGGGGGGTGAATTAGGCAACTTAAAAATCTAACTCTAAACTATGGCCTCTTTTTCTACCTCTAGCAAAACCTATGCAAAAGATAATCTATCTAAATGTGCAACTACGGTTTTGCTAGTGTATTGCTATCTCTACCGCAAATGATAATAATATGATCAATGTAAATGCGGAAGCTTAAGGAGTAAGGTAGAGATATGCAAACTCCCGTCGACGACTCCGGTATTTTTACCGAGGTATCGAGAAGCGCGCAAGCTTCCCCCTAGTCCTCGTTGGAGCCCCTCGCAAGGAATCCCTCGCAAGGGCCAAGCTCCCGGTCGGGTAACTCCGTGGATAGCCTCGGGCCTTCCCCACGCGCAAGTGGGTCTCTGACGTGCCTTTCGGCAAGCCTCTCCCGGATGCTCCCCGCCGTCTTCACTATCAAGCTTTCGGCCGAAACGCCGCGGGCCTTGTTCCCTTCGGTACACGGTGGCGGCCGCACCACAAACGCGGTTGGTGCGATCTCACAAGACTTCAAGCCCCTCCGATGTACAACTCTTGTGCTCGCAAGCACGGGGTGGTAAGAGGTATGCAAACCTCACTAAACACTAGGCATATACCTAGAGCAAGCGCATAAGCGGTGGTCTAAACAACCTAAGCACTTCGCAAAGCACCTACGCTAATCACCTGATGAAACACTAAGCACTATGCAAGTGGAGATCACTAAAATGGTGTATCAACACCCTAGATATGTTTCCTCAGCTCCACTATACTCAAATGGCCGGTTGGGGGTTGTATTTATAAGC